AGGGAGGGGGGTAAGAGATCAACCGAAGGACTTGTATGCATGCATATGAGCATAACCAAGGACATAAGACACTGGGGGGGTAGGGGAAGCCGGGGTATTGTCAAGGGCGGGGAAAAAAAGGACACATATGTAATACCCTTTGTAATGCTTTAAGCAATAAAAAAATAAAAAAAATAAATAAATAAAATATCTCCCTCAATTAGTCCTATGATAGTTAAATATGACTTACAGGTTTCCAAAAATATAGGAATGCTAAATGTTTATCAACAAAATGTATATATACCTTCAAACAAACATTTCATTGATTAACATTTTAAAGTTTCTGAAGTTAAATCTAGGGAAATCAAATCTCAACTTAAATATTAAAAGAGATAGCTAGATGAACTATATAAAAGAAAGTACATACAAACATTTTCTAGCAATAGAAAGTGTTTTGTTGAGTTTTCTAATTTCCTTTCAATTTCTATTTTCATTTAAAGGGTTGACAGAATTATCACTAACATGTCTCCTTAAAGAAACAAAACACGATTTAATGAACAAATATTTGATTTCTCAAGCATTCATAAAGTTTTTCAAACCAAAATTTATCTGAATATGTATATTAATCATAATATTGGCAGTGGATGATACTCATCAATCTATAGATGTGATAATTAAATCTGAAGTTTCTTGAACAGGTTACTTAGTCCAATTTGGTAAATTGTACTAATTACCATGTGTACTAACAATTTTCAGTGATAATGTAAACATCAACCACAGATTTTTTTGGCTAAGTGCACCAGAGTGTTTGTACTTTGTAATGCACATAAAAAGGCCATGATTTTCTGGTTTCTGATATTTGAAATCTTTACTATTTGTTTATTTCCTTTATATGCATATAATTTACTAAGAAAATTATCTCCTTTGAAATTAATTTATTTTCTCAGGTTAATCTCTTGGCTTTTGGATTTATCATATACAAAGTTTTTCGTCACACTGCAGGGTTGAAACCAGAAGTCAGTTGCTATGAGAACATAAGGTAAATGTTCCATTAAGTCTACTTTGTCTGTGTGTGTGTGTGATTAAAAGCTTTAGTAACTTAAGGTACAAATAACTTTTGAAAGGACAAATTTTGAATGATTTTTCATGCTTTCTTCCTCTATACTTAAAGTACTTTTTGTTAAGTAGCATTTAGTATGTTTAATAAGCCTACAATTACCACTTATCAAATGGTAAGTAAAACAATCTTTTTAAGCATACTTCTCTTTGAAAGAAAAGACAATGACCATTTTAAGAAAAAGTGGGCCTTAGTGATTTTTTCTTTGCAAAACACTTCTCAAAGCTTCGTACCTGAGTTTCTTCCTTGTGTTTCCTAATTTACATGTGGCCATGGTTTTTCCTTTAACCCCTCTCTTTAACATTGATTTATTAAGACTGTGAAAAAAGTTTGTTTAGGGAAAACTTTAGTGTATCATAGGGAACATTAGACATAACTAATGTTTGGGTTGCTTGGAAACACTACTGTAGTTTCATTACCTTGCACAAGATTTATAGTTAGAATTTAGCAAATGTTTGATTGATTACTTTCTTTTACTACTCACCATTCATAGTTTCACATAGCGTGCTGGTTTTAATTTTCTGAAGTACACTGCTAAAACATCGTCTGCATAAAGAATGCTTAGACTAAAAAGAAATAAAAAAATAATCATTAGTTGCCTCATTCTTAAGGCAGTGAGCAGGATTGAATAGTGTTTTACCAAAGGTCATAGGATAAAGGCTGAAAATAAGTAAGACTGAAAATAAGTAAGAGTGAATATGGGCATGCATTATCTTTTAATTTTTAAGAAATTAGTATTTTGACATGAATTTATTTGGAGGTAACGGTATTAGAAAAGCTATAAAATAAAATCTAATTTTATACTTTACTAAACCAGAAAGGAAAGTTTTCTTTGATGTCAGGTACACAGTGGGGCCTTGACTTACGAGTGTCCCGACTAACGAGTTTTTTGAGATACCAGCTGTCTCTTGGCCGATTTTTTGCATTGAGTTGATAGAGTAATTTGAGTTAACGAGCTCCTTAACGAGCTCTGTCTTGGAACGAATTAAACTCGTAAGTCAAGGCCCCACTGCATGTGCTGACCACAGTTTGTATGGTATACTTTTTAAGATTTCTTAAAGAAAATATTTCCTAACAGACATATGTGTTACCTTCGGGAATTACTGCAACATTCGATGTGAAATCAAAGCACACACACTGCAGTACACCAGATAAAAATATTTTTAAGATTAAGAAAATTCCCTGAGAAATGGTGTATTTTAATAACGCTACCTTGATTTCGGAAGCCCATCCTTGCCGCAGTGCAGTAGCATGCTCGAAAGGCTGTCCCATGTAACTGTGCAGAGCTTGTCAGAGTTTGTCAAATTGTTATTGGTTTTTGCAAGATGTCTCACTTATACCACAAACTAGTTTCCCACATAATTTGAGGAATCGGGGATACGAGTACGTGTAACTTTCTTAACTGGAACATTTCAAACACGTTCTAGGTCTTGTGCCAGAGGAGCCCTTGCTCTCCTGTTCCTTCTTGGCACCACCTGGATCTTTGGGGTCCTTCATGTTGTACACGCATCAGTGGTGACAGCTTACCTCTTCACCATCAGCAATGCCTTCCAAGGAATGTTCATTTTCTTATTCCTGTGTGTTTTATCTAGAAAGGTAAGCGGTTTGTTATATTGGCCAACTCTATGACATATTCATGTAGCATCAGTTACCAAATTGATAAAAACCCTTATTCTCAATAAAGGCATGACTTGTGCCTTTATTGCCTAAATGCAGTACATTTTAGTATAAAAAAAAATCAGAACACCTACCTGTTCTCAGAAAAATATGCTTTTTGTAAACTTGCTACTAGGAATATAAATATAGCTTATATTCCTTTGAGCATATTCTCACAGATAATTACAAGGCATTAATAATTTAGAAAACATAACAATGAAATGTGATCTGAAAATAATTTGATGTGATTGTTGAAATTATATTTAATATTTCTCTCTTCCCTTTTGCTTTTCTTTAGATCCAGGAAGAATATTATAGGTTGTTCAAAAATGTCCCTTGTTGTTTTGGATGTTTAAGGTAAACAGAGGGAACTATGGATAATTATTGCTACACAAAAATTAAAAAGCCAAGCTGTGGATGGCCAATGCATGAAAATGACTCAAACAAATTATCCAATTAATTACTAGATAATCAAATATTTTAAGTCAGTTTTTCTGTTTACAGTGTAGGAACTGAATATAATAAGAGGTGAAATTATGTACCATGTAGCTACAGTATGCTTCCCTACATGACTTAGTTATGTCAAAAATAATATTACAGATATTTGGAAAGTAATTGGTTTCTCGGGAGTGATATCACTGCGCCCAAGGATAGATTTTCTTTCTAACACAAGAAATATATGAATGTCCTGAAGGAAACCACTGGCTTGATATTTTATGACTCATGCTGACTTTAAAACTAGTCCCCTATCACCTTGGTAATGAGCTCTGTTACAGAAAGTGGAACATAAGAGAATAAAGGAGCAGAATATAAAATAGTAGAAAGGGAATGACTGTCATAACAATGGAATGTATTTTGAATAAACTTGGGTGTTGTTTTTTTTGTAAACTAGATGAGAAATTATAAAGATAAAATAAAGAATTGAATAAACACATCTTACCACTTCGTGAATTGTTCTGAACATAAATTTCTACCAAAATAACTTGCACCTAAAAAATAAAATAAAAATAACTTGCACCTGTATTTGTTATATTCACTTTCTTTTCCAATATTTCTAAAAACTGCACAGCTTCACAAAAGAAAAACACACACATTTCTGTTCTGTTTTTACGTTAACATTAGAATGAAGCATATGCTATTTCTATACTTGCTTCACAGATTGTAACTTCAAATGCATAATCAGTAATGCACAAATATGTCAAAATATAGTATTGTTCATGCCTGTAAATGTTGTTCATGCCTGTAAATAAAGCTGAAGCTTTCTATTCTATGACCTTCAGTGTAGTGAAAAATATTGTATCTCATTAGACTGGTATAGTTGAGTTCCTTATTTGTTTAATTTCAAAAATATTATAGTTTACATTGCAATATTCCCTTTTAACTTACTGTTTTTAAAAGGGCATTGTAAATATGGAAGTATTCATAAAGTGAATTGCTTTTTTTTCTGTTCAGAAAAGTACACACTTCAAAGTGTTATTTATGACAAAGAAATCACTCAGAACTTCAGAAATTTTCACAGTGGATCTATTTTCTGACAGTTTTCCACTATCTATTAAAGCATATCTGTTTAAATGTACTGCTGCTATCTATCCTCAAATCGTCTCATTAAAATGAAGAAGCACTGACTAAGATTTCAAATATGTCACTGTTCTGCGCCTACCTGTAAAAGTATGCCAATACGCTAAATGCTGTGATTTTAATTTCTCCAGCTGTTGAAATGCAGTCTGTCAGCTCTTTCTCTAACAAATAAAATGTTATCTAAATGAATCCTGCTACTGCTTTGCTAAGTCCTTTTCTCAGGAAAGATGAGCTACCTGCCAATATGGCTTATACATTTTTAGACAATCCGTGATCATAACTTTTTATTATGTTTTTTATCTCTTACATAGTAAACCTATGAGCTATTATTGTCATTGTCATTATAGGACAGTGTTTGGGGAATGTCATATGGAAAAGTAATTTGTTCAATCCATGGGGTGGTAGGCAGAATAATGACCCTCCAAAATGTCCACACCCTAAGTCATAGCTTATGACTATTTTAGGTTGCATGGAGAGAAGAATTTAGGTTGATAATCAGCTGACCTTCACATTGGAAGAGCATCATGGATTTTCTGGTTGGCCCAATGGAATCACAAAATTCCTTATATAAGTAAAACAGGAGGCATAACAGGGAGCTTGTCAGAATATGAAACCGATATTCTGTCGCATGAGATTTCAGGCCTTCTCATATCACCCTACCTCCCTGGTTTTCACTTTTGCCCAATCAACGTTTCTTTAGTCATACCAAACTGTTTATTTTACCCCAAACGTGTTATCTGTTACCTAATCCCCTATTTCTGGAATTTTCTCATTGTTACCATCATTACTCTGACAAACATCTACTTATCCCTAATGTATCTTTCTCAATGAAACCTCCTTGATTCACACAAAGAATTAATACTTCCACCTTTGTGTCACTGCTGTCTAGTAGATATCTATTTTACCATTTATCACATTGTATTGCAATTATTTAGCCTTTGGACATTCATTGTACCAAGTTTTGTTCTGCCTTAAAGGCAGGTACCTTCTCTTTTTTGCTTCCTGAGTCAATATTACTGCCTTCTGCTAGCTTGTGACCACACAATTGATGTGATAAGAGGGTCTGAACCCTCTGAACTAGTCTGTATTTTGCTCTTTCCCTTTAGGTTTTCCATACTGGAGTCCATGGGGTGAACCGGCTTTCTCAGGGAAAGCCCTCCCTGCTTGTCTCTTACTGTCACGCAGTGAGGTGGAAAGAGAGGACTCAGCAAGGTCAAACTGATGAAGTGGAGCAGGCAGGAGAATGAAGCTGCCTTGAGTTCATACTAAAGCTTAACTCAATTTTCTGGGAAAGAACTTTGGGGATTTGTAAGGAGCTTGCCAAACTACTAATAGAGTAGCACTTCATTACCCATTTGGCTTTTTATTTTATTTTATTATGGTTTAAAGTATTTTACATGTCTCCTTTTTTCCCAATTGACTCCCTCTTCCCCAGCCACTACCACCCCTGATGGCAAGTTCCCACCGCCCCAGTGTCTGTGTCCATTGGTTATGCTGATATGCGTGCATACAAATCCTTTGGTTGATCTCTAACCACCCCTTCCTCCCCTGCCTTCTCTCTGAGGTTGAATGGTCTGTTCAGTGCTACCTTGTCTCTGGATCTATTTTTGTTCATCAGTTTATGTTGATCATTATATCTCATATATGAGTGAGATCATGTGATATTTATCTTTCTCTGAATGGCTTATTTCACTTAACATAATGCTCTCCAGTTCCATCCATGCTGCAGCAAATGGTATTTTTTATAGCAGTGTAGCATTCCATTGTGTAGATGTACCACAGTTTTTTAACCCACTCATCTGCTGATGGGCACTTAGGCTGTTTCCAAATCTTAGCTGTTTTAAGGGATCACAATACCAGATATCAAGCTATATTACAAAGCCATGGTTCTCAAAACTGCCTGGTACTGGCACAAGAACCGACATATAGACCAAGGAACAGAATAGAGAACCCAGAAAGAGACCCAAGCCATTATGCTCAATTAATATTTGACAAAGGAGGCAAGAGCATACAATGGAGTCAAGACAGTCTTTAATAAATGGTGCTGGGAAATTTGGTCAGATATATGCAAAAAAAAAATGAAACTAGATCACCAACTTACACCATACACAAAAATAAACTCAAAATGATTAAAGGACTTGAATGTAAGAGGGGAAACCATAAAAATCCTACAAGACTCCATAGGCAGCAAAATAGCAGACATATGTCGTAGCAATATCTTTATCAACACAGCTCCTAAGGCAATGGAGACTAAGGAGAAAATAAACAAATGGGACTACATCAAAATAAGAAGCTTCTGCACAGCTAAAGAAACCAACAAAACAACAAGAAAGTCCACTGCATAGGAGAACATATTTGACAGTGCTATTTCAGATAAAGGTTTAATCTCCAAAATTTACAGAAAACTCATACAACTTAACAAAAGGAAATAAACAAGCCAATAAAAAATGGGCAAAGGAGCTAAATAGACACTTTTTGAAAGGACCTACAGAAGGGCGAGAGACATGAAAACATGCTCAAAGTCAGTAATCATTCGAGAGATGCAAATCAAAACAACAATGAGGTGCCATCTCACACCTGTCAGAATAGTTATCATCAACAAATCAACAAATGACAAGTGCTGGCGAGGATATGGAGAAAAAGGAACCCTCGTGCACTGCTGGTGGGAATGCAGACTGGTGCAGCCACTGTAGAAAACAGTATGGAGTTTCCTCAAAAAGTTAAAAAATGGAACTCCCATTTGACCCAGTGATCCCACTTCTAGGACGATATCCCAAGAAACCAGAAACACCAATCAGAAAGGACATATGCATCCATTTGGCTTTTATTCCTCATGTACCACTTCCTCATTTGATAGTGAGTGGGGTAAATATTAGGATTTGATACTCAATCTCCTCAATCTATAAAATATATAACACATTCATTAATAAATATGCATTTACAGGCTCTTCATAAACAAATGGGGATGATAGAAGGGTTATAGAATCTCAAGTGATTAAATCAAAGAACTCAATACATTAAGTTTGGCCTGAAACAATGAGACAGATAGATACCAAAGAGTATAAAATAAATTCCCTGTGTTTACCCCCCCCCCAAAAAAAAAAATCTGTTGGTTGATTAACTACACTGTGGTTAGGAAAATGTATTTACACACAATATAATATTTAGAAAAAGCATAAGAAAGTCTATAAACACGATCTGCATGCTACACATAACCAAGAAAATATATATACTAAGTTGATGATATCATTTCTTAAGTCCCTTTTAATTCAATGCTATACCCCTAAACTTAATGACTGCATTCTTTTTCCTTTTTTTTATTGATTTCAGAGAGAGGAAGGGAACCGAGAGATAGAAACATCAAGGCTGAGATTCATCCATAGGCTGCCTCTTGCACAACCCCTACTGGGGACTGAGCCTACAGCAATCCAGGCCTGGAATTGAACCCTGACCTCCTGATTGATAGGTTGACACTCAACCATTGATCCACACAGGTCAGGCACAACTCTGCAGTCTTACTTTTTTGTGAAGTCAATCTAACTCACTGTACCCATTTTGAATGCCTTATAAAATAAGGTATTTTTTTGTGTATCAATATTATTCTCTAATTTCTCTAACATGAGACCTTTGAGAGAAAAATGAATAATGGATTAAGTATGGATCCAGAAAGAGTACCCATTATTCAGATTTTCTTCTATCTAGCATGTCTTCCCTCATGAAAATTCTACCCGTTATTCAAGACATCTTGCTATAAAACCCCTCTGATCAATTTGATTTTTATTAAACTATAACTATAGCACTTACAGATTGTACATAATAATAGCACTTAATTTGGGTCATTGTGAAGTCATCATGCAGTGTTCAAACTTAAAAATTTTAGGCTTTAGATTACAAATATGAGAAAAATAACAGGGATCACACTTAAAAAAAAAAGTTTTCTCCTTGGAAGGTGATACAGATTTCAATTGTTAAATTGCATGACCTCATTTTATTCTCAGAGTAGCATATGCAATTCTATCCTCATTTTTCAGTGTGAAAAGTGCTCAATGTCCCACAGCTAGAAAATCATTCAGACTGGCAGCCCCAGCTCTTTCTGCTCCCCCAGGCGACTGAGAAACTTGCTGACTCAGATAGGAAGTGACTGGATTCATACCCAGGCTTTTTGCCTCTAATTCCAGGGTATGTCCCACTGTTCCATGGTATTGGACAATATTAGGGCACTATTCCTGTTTACAGTGACATGCTTTTTTGACAAGTCTCTTCTACATGCATATGCGATTAGAAATAAGGCAATTTCATTTTTTAAGGTGAAATTTTTCTTCTTTTCTCTTTACTTGGCCCTGCTTTCCCTGCACATTTATTTCTATCCCTCAATTTCCACCCTCATCCTCAATCAGGCAATTCATTTTAGCTACTTGGTACATATTCTTTCATATTTTTCTTCGTGTTTATATCATCATATTCAAATCATTAATGTGAAATCACATTATAAAAACATGGTACCTGTTTTCCTCACTTAGCTCACAGGTATAGCTAATTCATTCTTTTTAATGACTGAATAATAGTCCATATTGAGGATGGATCATAAATTGCGTAGCCGTATGCAACCTTATTTAATTCAATAATACATTCAAAAACTACTATATTTTTCAGAAGTAATGTTCTTCATGCAATGTGGCTTGGTTTTGTTGT